TTTGAAAACTTTAAAATTATAATATATTGTCCGCTATATGCCATAAATTAAAGAAAACAGTAGGTTTTTGACGGTTTTTACCACTGTCATGTCAAAAACCCAACCCTGCTATGAAATAATTCATTCTTATATTATGTGCCTCAGAAACGTCAGCTTTTTTTTTATCTATAATACTAAGACAACTCTCTTTTTAATTTGTGTGTTTCTGAATTGTTTACAACTTTATATAAATTATATAATTTACAGCTACTAATTGTAGGTTCTGGTTCTGATGCATTGTGGGCAAAATAAAAAATGGTTTACCCTGAATAACTTCCAATCGGATCTTCACACCCTGGGACTCAATTTTAAAGACTGATTTGGATTACCTCAAATATGCTCATTTATTAGTGCAGAAGATATTTTAAGTTACAAAATTGAACACCCGAACATATCTTCTCTGAATAAACATACTTTTCTTCCAACAGACTCAGATTTCTAACTGTGATAATGTAAGGGGTAGTCTCAATCTGGGAAATATGGTCCCAGTAGTTTGGTCAAGAGAGTGGACCAAAGCTTGGACACCTTAATATTAATTTTACTTTTTGCGTATTTCGCTATATCTCTGGCACTTTTCAATTGAAATGCAAAATTATTGCACAAAAATTTGTTTACGAAAAGTTAATTCCATGCAAAAAAATAACTTTTAGTAGATATCTATTATTTTTTAGTATTTTAGTTAAAAATTATCGAAAAACTTTGAAATTGTAAGAAATACAATTTTTTACATCATTTAAAAGAAAACAATTTTAATACAAAATATGAGTGAAATCGTTCAAATAACTCCTGAGATATTGAATTTTAAAAATATGACTTTTTTAAAAATAATGACAAATTCATAAGATCAGAAGTTATTGAGGGTATTTCGTTTATTTTTGTGTGCCTTCTACTCTATGTCTATATGTTAAATTCGAAATGCTAAAAAGTGAGTATTAATTATCACATAAATTTAAACGAAACAATTTCAATGATTAATTTTTTTTTGCCTTAGTATTTTTATAATTTTTTAGATATTTTTGTATACAAAATTGTATTACATTTTTCTTTTGTATGTAATATTTTTATTATGAGGAGGTACTTGTGTTATGTCTGATATTATTTCCCCCATGGCACAGAGTTATTCACCTCAGAACATGTTTCAGGTGGACAAACTTTGTAAAATATTTATATGATAATGATGCATGAAATTGATTGGGTTTAAACAGCGGGATTATTTGCTTTAATGAATGAACCACATTGGTAGTTTGACATTCTGATCATTTCTGCACCTTGATAGACTGAACCTTTTAAACGTTCTCTCTCAATTTATGCGAGACTTTTGTTCGAATTGTGCAATAACGTGCTGCTTACAAAAAAATGAAGACTTTTGATCCATGCTAATTATTGAAAAGCACAGACAATTTTAAGAGCTTTTATCTATATTTTTAGCTATAAATCAGTTGAAAGTTTAATAGGTTTTTAAATTATATTTATTTCTACCTGTAGTTTAATAATGAAGCAGAAATAAAACTGCAAGAGCTTCTTTTTTTTTCATTTATTTATTTTAATTATTTTGTGAAACAAAGTGACTGATTGAAACTTTTGAGTTCATATTTTTTAAAATTCTAGTGCATATTGCAAAAAGTTCTACTGATTAAGCTATATTTTTTGAAAAACTAAAATATAATTAATAATTAGTCAAAAACTTTCAAAAATATATTTTTTTTTTTTAAAAATATTTATTTTGAAGAAAAATGTATAAAATGTTTTTTTTTTTTTAATACTAATCACACAGATTTCAAAGTTCTTTTTATAGGAAAATAAAAACAATTTTACCTATCTTTACTTCATTATGATTGGTTGCCCCTTAAGTTTTTTGGTAGATATTCCATATCCTCTGTTAGTTTTGTGTATAAGGTCCACTTGAAGTGAATGAAGTATGTATAAGTTACTCCAGTTTCAATAAAAAAGCAAAATTATTTTAACTCATCAGTAATTATTATTTATAAATAAAAAGGAAACTCAATTACTTAAAAAACTAACTAATATGTACTGAAAAGCCAGTGTTCTGTTTATTGAAATATTTTTGTTAATGGAATTTAATGAAATACCACAGAATTTTGATGATCAAGTCTATAATAAGTTTTTATTGAATTAATTATTATTATACTTTAAAATTTTGGATGTTCGATTTACACTCAAAAGTTTTGGGAAGGACCAAACTGGCCACTTTAGGTATACTGCAATTTTCAGTCTTTCTAGTGTTAATTATACTTCTTCTTCTTCATAAGTGCAACAGCCTTTCACGGGCCAAGGCTGACTCACAGATTTTCCTCCATCTGGCCCTGTCCGGTGCGATGGCCCGCCATCGGCTGAATCCCAGTAGTTTGAGGTCCTTTTCAACGTCGTCTATCCATCTTGTAGGTGGTCGTCTCCTACGTCTCGTCACTTCAATTGTGGAAAAAGTCACTTTTTTGGCAGGGACGGCATCAGAATTTCTGAAGAGGTGGCCCAGCCACCTAATGCGTGATGCTTTAATAGTTCTCACAATGTCGGTCCCACCGAATTTGTCATATTTTTTGTAAAGAATTTTCCTTACGTTATTCTCTTAAAGAGAGCCAAAGATTTTTCTCAAAATTTTTCTTTCAAAAATTAGCAGTTTTTCCTGTTAAATATTTTACTAATTAATCAATAATATACATTTATTTAATGTAACATTTTTTTCACCTGTTTTTTGTTGAATGTTTTGATATTTAATATAAAATTAAATTCAGATTATTTTGATATTCAATTTTTAAGAAAGTTTTGCTCTCTTATTTTTATTTTTATTGATTTTTCTTTTGCATATTCTTTAGATCACTTGATAAACAGAAGGGCAAAGAGCGTGGATCGAAAAGAAGAAGAATTAGCTATTTGGGAGATTTTAAAGATAGTGTCACTTACTCTACTGATGAATTCCATTTGGGATTAAAGATAGCAAATAAACTTGTAGAACAGCAGAATAAAAAGATACGATGCTTAAAAGGAAAAAACAGTCGATTACGCAAAAGAGTTGAAAATTTGGATGCCACTTTAGAGGAATATAGGAAGAAGGTTTATATTCCTTCCGATGTTCTTAAGGTAATTTCACTTATTCATATGTATTTCCCGGTGTGTATATTAATCATTATTTATTTTTTACGAAAAAGCTTTTTGTTACTTTATAATTGTTAGCTACTTTATGATGGTCTGTTCCAAATAGCATTTAATTTTAAACACAATTAAGGTATTTTCGAGCAGGGAAAAATTCCAAACAAAAAGATTAAGACTCAAAGTAAAAAGTAAAATTTGTGATGCATAAATTGTACTAAGTCTTCTTATTTTGGTATTTAAAATCAAAAGACATGTAGTTTGGCTTAAAAAAGACTTAATCTTCCAACTTCCAATTGATATTTCTTGTATATTATTTGTTTGTTATTTATAATTATAATGTTTTTTTATTAATATCTTCTCACTTCTGAATTAAATTTCCCCTGAATTAGATTCTTTGTTATCGGACTTTCTTATATGGCTCAGTCGTTTTTGAAAGAATCTTTCAAAGTTTTCATCTTTGAATATTGTCATTCCATCTCTATATTTTAAATTTTTCTGATGAAATTTTAACAGTTAAAGCAAATAAAAAGAATTCCTCATTGGACTACAACTTGCCCAGGTAATCCGATTTTGACGAAAAATTGCATTTCACTGAAGAAAATTTGCTTCAGTGCGCCAAGCTTCTCGAAATAGATGTTGCAAAGCAGACTCCTCTCACTGCACTGTTTCTCACCAGAATATCAACAGACGTGAATAATGTTTTGAACACCTTGAATGTGAAACCATTGGCCCATTTTACTGTCATCTAGTGTTTGAGAATTCTTTCGCTCACTCAAAATAAAAATGACTTGATATCACATATTGTGAATGATAATATTAAAAGAACATATGATAGAACTTAAGGCGATCTTTTTAACTCATAGTATGCAATCTCCAAATGGTAACACTCATAATTCCAAAAAAAAAAACTGCCTGGATTTGCACAGAATTATAGACTAAAATTGAATTACTGCAGAAACAAGTGGAACTTTTAAACAGTCAACATTTTTCTCTATGTACCTCTTCACCTCCTCTACCACAAACAGATTCTAATATTGTGACAATTCTTGCTACATTTATAGAGACTCAAAACAATTATTAGAGAAACAAGTAAGTCAACCAAATATCATCCAAATTATTTCCACTAACAATACCGTATATTCCATTTTAATGTTTGAAGGCAATATCATTGACTGCTTCTGAATGTATAAAAGTAGTGGATAGAATCGCGACACTTGATAATTTGTCTGATGATCACTAATGCTGTTTTGTGCCACTCCAGATCTGCAAACAATTGAAAACTTACATGAGGTAAAACTTATAATGATTGAACTGCCGGGAAAATCACCCTCACTTCTAGATTTAAAGATCACATTACAATGGAAGAATTTTTAGCTCATCAGAGCGTACGTAAGTTTAAAAATAATGAAAGTTTGGTTGATTGTATTCATACCAAAGATGCTCTTCTTGAAAAAGCTCTGTTTACTATGCACAAACTGATCTTATTTCTATGACAATTGGTGATATTACAGAAGAAAAATGGCAGATTGCCTTTGCCACCCAGAATTTGATTACTGTTCAAGATTTATTGAGAGCTGCTACACTCGATGCCATTCGAAGTTTCAGACACGAGAATATGTCACACCAGTCCACAAAATTTTTTTTTTTCAGTACCCAAGTCTCGGTCAAAAACCTCCAATTGGCACATTGAACAACAACGTAAATATAACTCTGCTACTGACGATGTTCGAGACATTACTTGCTGGCTATGTGGACAAAAGGTCATGCCATTTTATGTACAGTGTACCTCTGCTCAACAAAGTTCGACTACAACTCAATCACAAAATTCATCACCCTCCGCTCAAGAATTCAACAGTCAACCGAAAACTCAGTTTCTGTATTATGACACAAAAAAAATTTTGCTTGTTATTTGCTTTTCCAGATTAAAGAATATTTGTGATACAAAAGCTAGTTTGTTTTAAAATTTTTGGATATTTATTAATTAATCTTAAATAATTCATGTACAGAAAAATTCTGTTATATCCTAAACATGATAGTGGGATATTATTTTTAACACTCTTTATTATGCATTTTTCTCTAGCATGATTTTATTAATTGTAAAATTGTTATTTAGATATGCTAAACCTCAAACATAGAAGAAAAAAAAAATTTCAGTTTTACTAGCACTTTTACATTATGCATAATAATGGGATAATTTTTTAAATATGCAAGTAAATATAAATTATTCTCTATAAAAATCAAAATATCCTTTTGAATTTTTTCCAACTATTACATCTTCATAATGTTTAATATTTTTATTAAATTATAATTACTTGAGTGAAAAAAACTCAATGTTTTATGATTGATCAGAAAATATGTTCAGATTGGAAAGATTTGATTTTATTTTATTAAGATTTTTGTTATCTCTATTAACATTTATGATCTGAACTTTATATTCATCAGTAAGTTTTCTTTTCACTTTTGCAAGCAAATTTACATGCTGTACATTATAATGTGATTTTTTTTTTCATAACAAATATGCAAAAAAGAAACCTATTTAATTTTTTTTAACTAATTGCTTGTTCGTGATGAATGATATTTCATGAAGAGAAAAGTTGTCTCTTATATATTTATAATCAAATAATGTGCTTTTATTTCTTTTCTTCATCATTTTATTTGGTTGCAATGCGGTAATCAATATTAATTGAAAAAATTTCCATTTTATTATCTAAACATTCAATTACTAATGTTCCATATTTTCTTTTTTATCTTTTTATAGTTTTTCCTTAATTTCCTTTAAAAACTTAATTTTTTTGAATTTTTTTAAAGAAAAAAAATTTTTAGACATTGGGAGAATGTTATAATAGCTTCTACACTAGGCTTGTTAACTTAAAAATAGGAAAAGATTCAAATCAGTATTGAATTTTTAACATGAGAAATTTTAGAAAAAATCATTGCGTGTTTAAATTATTTTTGTTCAAAATAATATTAGTCCACTATGTGTACAATTATTGAGTCCAAAACTCAAACCTCACTAATCGACTCATTCCAAGTAATAACTTGATTATGATAAATATTTATGAATTTATTTTAATAATTTAAAAACTTTTTTCATATGTGTTATATGGAATTAGGAAATCATCAGTCCCACGCTGTTAGCTTTTTTTCTTCTTTTTAGTTGAATTATAAAAATTATTTCCTTTTCTTTCCTATTTCTTGAATTTAGTAAAATTTTGAAAATTACAATTCAAAAGCTAAAAATGAACTTATTACTATTATTAACTTCTTTAAAAACTGAATTAATTGATTGAATAACTGAGAAAATTACTGAAAATTTAAAAGTTATTAATTTATTGTTTATTTTATAAATTGAGAAACATTTTTCTTATATGTTATACAGAATTAGAAAATCAGTCCCACATTGTTTGCTTTTTTTTAAAATTTAGTTCTAAACATTTTCTTTTTTCTTTCCCCTCTTTCTGGAATTTTGTAAAATTTTGAATAGAAAAATTCAATTTTATCAAATTTTTTTGCTTAAATTTTTCAAAATTATAACTCAAAAGCTAAAAAGGCTTCGACTTTTTATGCTTTATTCATACACTTCAATACAATTAAAAAAATGTGAAATGCACTAATGTTAAGATTTGTAAACATTCAAACAACCTTAATTAGAACATATTTGATTAAAAAGCAAGTTTCAAAAGTATAAATTTTACTGGAATCACAAGCCTGAATTCAACATTTATGCATATATTATGTTATATACTAACTTATAATCTTATATAAATTATTTAGAAGTTATTTTATGAGATTAAGTTATTGTTCAAAACAAATTTCATACTTGTAGCAATGCGAAAATATTGCATTTCTTTTTCTTTATATTATATTAATTTTTTTCTCATTGTGTTTAAAGCATGACATTAGGAATAACATAAAAAAAATTTCTATTCAAATTAGTTTTCTTGCTGTCTAAGAAATATCATGCAATAGCTGCAGAAGCATATTTAGTAGACTTCAGTAAATATGCAAAATCAAAAGACAATGTTAACAGAAAATAATTTATTCTGTAAAAGATTTTACTTTTGTCTGTCGCAATTGTTTTCTTGCAAATAGTTTTTTTTTTCTTTTGTTTTACATATGCTATGCATCCATTACACAAACCAAGATAGAAATATATTATATAAAAATGTTATATAAATCACTGATTCTACAAGGAGCATGAAATTAAATTTAGCTGCTGTATACAGGGCTGATAGTTCTCCGGAAAAAAACTGGATTTCCAGATTTTTCGCTAACAGTGATCTGGAAGTTTCTGGAGATTGAAGGTCCGGACGTTTAAAAAAATCATTGATCACAGAAGTTTCCGGAAATCAAATTTTCAAAGGTGGAACTTAAAAACCCAGTTTATTTTATTTGTTTGTAAAGGAGATCCAGAGAGATACTTTATAAGCTTATAATCATGATGAATATTCATTTTTTATCAGTAAATAGTTGTTCTAATCATAAACTCAAGAAAAAAAGACATATTTGTAAATTTTAATAACTTCTCCAGGTCATCATAGGTATGTATAAATGGTATAGGCGTGTGTAAAATTGTAAATATATTTTAAGTAAACTAAGAAATATTGAGAAAAAGGAAAAATAAACTTGTTTAAATTTTTTTCAATTTAAACTTTTTTTTTAAACTTAATAAATTTTCCGGAATTTTGGCTTGGGCTCACAATCACCCCTGTGTATACATTTAGTAACTTAAAAAGCAAAAATGGCAGTAACCATGCAATGTCCTTTAATAATTTATTTCAAAACACTAGACTTCACTGCCAAAAAAATTTTATTTTTGGAATATTTCCTATTACTGACAGCAAAAACATGTGTGAAAATAAATTCAAGGAAAATATTGCAAATCCACATTTTGTTACTCAATTATTTTTGTGTATTATAGCATTGTTTCACAAATTTTTATATAGTTTTCTTAGTCACAAATTTTATTAAAAGGATGTGGTTGTTTTGATTGTAACATCTAGACGATTTTGTTAAATAACGGAAAAAAACTGTCACATAAAATGCTGACTTCTTTTTTATACAGTCTAACACCACTATAATGAACCTGAGATATGAATGTTCAAAACCCACTTAATAAATATTTGGCTATATTGAGCATTTTTAGTTACTCCTTCCCAATTGTTCTTTAACTAATGTTTCATGTACCTATAGTGAACAGCTAAGATGTTCGTCGTTTGTTTATAGTAGACTCAGATTCCTTCCCAATTGTTCTTTAACTAATGTTTCATGCACCTATAGTGAACAGCTAAGATATTGGTCGTTTTATAGTGGACTCAGATTCCTTCCCAATTGTTCCTTAACTAATGTTTCATGCACCTATAGTGAACAGCTAAGATATTGGTCATTTGTTTATAGTGGACTCAGATTTCTTTTCTGTAAGATATTTAAATAAATATAACAAAATATTTAGTCAATGTAATTTGTTCAAAAGTATATAATTGTGATTTTTAATTTAAAAAGGAAGAAAGAGACATAAAGGAGTGTTTTAAATGAGATCATTTCTCTGAATTGAATTATGTGATTGGTTACAAAAGCAGACATAGCACAGAAATTCCAACTTTTAAATTAAACTTTCTTCAAAAATGTCGTAAATGAAAAAGATAAACTTCTAAAAAATTACTAAACTCAGTGGTGCAACAGCCCATAGAGGGCCAAGGCCNAGAGAAATGCGTTCTGAAAGAGGTTCCGTGGTTCGGAAGGATGGTGTTCTGTTGATCTTAAAGGTTCTGAACAATACTGGTAAATAGGGAAGCTAGATAATGGGGCAAATGTTGAAAATAATAAAAGATCCAGGAGGAAATGTGAAGCGGATTTTATTCTAAATGGCGCAAATGAGAAATTTTTTTCCAAATGCGAGAAATTCGCGAATTTTGAAATTGGTTTATAGAATGCGCGAATTTCTCGCGGTAATCATTTTTTTAAGCGAGAATATTAAGAAATATGCGAGATTCTCGCGTTCTCGCGCTGTAGTGAAAACACTGATCATGCAATGGCTACAGAAGCATATTTAGTAGACTTCAATAAATATGCAAAATCAAAAGACAATGTTAACAGAAAATAATTTATTCTGTAAAAGATTTGACTTTTATTTGTCGCAATTGTTTTTATTGCAATAGAATTTTTTTTTTCTTTTGTTTAACATATGCCATGCATCCATTACGCAAACCAAGATAGAAATATATTATATAAAATTGTTATATAGATCACTGATTCTACAAGGAGCATGAAATTAAATTTAGCTGCTGTATACATTTAGTAACTAAAAAAACAAAAATGGCAGTAACTTAAAAAACAAAAATGGCAATAACCATGCAATGTCATTTTATAATTTATTTCAAAATACTAGACTTCGCTGCTAAAAAAATTTTATTTTTAGAATATTTCCCATTACAGACAGCAAAAACATGTGTGAAAATAAATTCAAGGAAAATATTGCAGATCCACATTTTGTTACTTTATTATTTTCTTGCATTGTAGCATTGTTTCCTTTGTCACAAATTTTTTCTTAGTTCTGTTAATTACCAATTCTATGAAGAGGATGTGGTTGTTTTGATTTTTACAATGGAATTATATTTCACTTATTCAGTAGAGCGCCGATTATCCGAACCCTTATTATCCGAACGTCCAATTATCCTAACTGTGTCTGAATTCGTTTTTTTTTTTTTTTTTTTTTTTCTGGAAGCATGGNTTTTTTTTTTTTAAGGTTTAGAATACTTTTTAACCTATTGACAATTTTTTTAAATTAAGAAGAATAGATAATATCCCCTACATCTTAAGACCATATTTAATTTACAACCTTTTTAGCAGTTTTCTTATTGTAGCCATACATACATGTATTGTGATACAGTTAAATCTACATAGCTCTTTACACCTGAAATTATCTTCCAAGAGTGCGAGCTTCATTTTGATAGTCTACAATGGTTGGAATACAGAAGGAGTTTATGAATAGATAAGTGCTGAAGTTCTATAATTGGGCAATGGGTAGTTGTCACTTATGGTTAAAGATTACAGTGCTTGGAATCTTAAATCTTGGAATAAAATTCTTAACCAGAAAACAAATGAAACTGAAGTTTCTGAACCAGTAGATCTTTTGGATGAAAATGATGAAATTGTTGCTGAAATTTTGAATGAAAATCCGAACTCTACGGACGAAAAGGAAGAAGTAGGTGATCAAGTTCAAGGCAGTGGACCTTCTCATATAGAAGCAAGCAATTCATTAGATATTGCAATGAATTGGCTAGAACGTCAAAATAATGTTGATCCAGTTCAGTTGATTTTTTTTAAAAAGAATAAAGGATATATGGCTGCTAAAAAAAAAACGCTTCTTCTTTGAAACGAAATCTTTGCTGGATTTCTTTTCCAATGGAAAATAATGAAAAATGTTGTAAAACCAGTAATTGACAAAAAAATTATAAAAACTGAAATATGATAAAAATAATTCAAAATGAAGAAAAAAAGTTTAAAAAAAATTTAAATAAAATATTTTTCGAACTTTTCATTATCGTTATTCATGCACCTATAGTGAACAGCTAAAAAATTGGTCGTTTGTTTATAGTGGACTCAGATTTCTTTTCTGTAAGATATTTAAATAAATATAACAAAATTTTTAGTCAATGTAATTTGTTCAAAAGTATATAATTGTGATTTTTAATTTAAAAAGGAAGAAAGAGACATAAAGGAGTGTTTTAAATGAGATCATTTCTCTAAATTGAATAATGTGATTGGTTACAAAAGCAGACATATGGGAGGGTACACAGAAATTCCAACTTTTAAATTAAACTTTCTTCAAAAATGTTGTAAATGAAAACGATAAACTTCTAAAAAATTACTAAACTAAACTAAACTCAGTGGCGCAACAGCCCATAGAGGGCCAAGGCCTACTGTGCCCATCTCACTTTTCTTGACCTTGGGCTCTGGGGTGCAGAAGCAGATGTTCCGGTTAGGTGGTCAGCTGAACGTGAAACCCCCAGTGTTTAGTTCCCAAGCATGCTTGGTACTCATTTATCGACCCACTGAAGGGGTGAAAGGCTGAGTCTACCTTGCCTGGCCCAAGGATCGAACCCAAAACCTGTGGCATGGGGCGCTACCATTCAACCACCGGGCATCTAAAAAATTACTTAGGTAACAAAATTGAACAAACCAATATTCAAAAATTCTGTAAAAGGGGACGACCACTTTGCTATTTGGAAAATATTTTGTATGTTCTTTAATGCTAAAGTTAAAAATTCCATTTGAGCGAGAGATTCTTTGTCAGGAAATTAAATATCAAAAAAATTCCAATCATTGACGAAAATGGAAAACATTAAAGTTAAAAAACTACATCATCAGGAGACTACCCTTTGTAATATGGAAAATATTTGAAATGTTATTTAATACTCCAGTTAAAATCTCATTACACTTAGAAATTCGTTGTAGTGGGACTCAATATATATTTTGTTTCTTAATACTACTTTAATCACAATATGTACTATAGCAATCACTTTTTCCAAGTATGCTACTGCAATATGCTTAAAAATTCTTTTTTAAAAGATTTAGATGTAGTGATTCATCGTTTATGGTCATGTTATTGTTAGTTTCTATGCCAGTTTACCATAGCAAAGTCTGACCATATAATCAATGTCCCATTTGAAAAGTGATTTTTGAAATTTTTATTTTACTTCAAGAGCAAAAAAATTATAATCATCAGGTATTTTCGTCTAAGAAAAAATTAATTTTAAAGTTTAAATTTTTTTTTTAAACTTTAACCATACCTTACATATTTGTGAAGAGCCGGCCAGGTGGCCAAGCGGTTAGCGTGTCTGAATGTGAAGCCAATGGCTGCAGGCTCGAATCCAGCTCTGGGCATGGATGTTTCTCTCTATGTGTTGTCCCTGCTGTGTGTGATGTGTGAATGTGGCCCACCCTATTAACGGGTATTTGTGGCTGTATGGCATGCGTAGTGTTGCTCGCCTTCGTGACCTAGGTTCACAGGTGCCCACTGGGTAATGTTAAATGAGCAACACTTCCGGCATCTTCCAAGGTAAAGAACGAAAATTCAGTATCTGCCGTTAAAGGGGGGGGGGGAATATTTGTGAAGAAAAATTCTAGAAAAAGTTTGAAATTTTCTATTCCAAGCAGTTGGTATAATTAAATACTGGTTTGATTGGCCTCTTTTAATTTCAGGAAGCTTTGGCTAGAAATAAGAAAATGCTAAGAAAAGCCAAAACAAACTGCTCTGCAGCTAAGATAAATATTTCAGGTGAAATAACTGGTTCGCCAACTAAGACGAATGAAGGCTGTGATGATTTACATCTGAATTCTCCATGATGATGTGAAGTTTGCTTCAACTAAACATTTATTAGCTTAAATGGCATTTTAGTGATAGTGATTGTATCCTTCAAATTTTATTACATTTGTGAAATTGTATATTCTTATGTAGCAGCTATATTCTCTTTTTTTCGCTGCTAATCTGTGTTTATTAGTAATGACTACTGTTGTACAGAATATAAAGAGAACACAGAGAAACAAATGAAGTCTTTACTTTGAACAGTTGTAACAAAATGAAAGTTTATGCAAATTACTAGCAACTCTTTTGAAAATGCTTATTTATATTCCATTTTTGTTTCTCTATATATCTATGCCCTTTGAAATGTTCATTGATATTTAGCTAGCAATTGTTTATTGATATTCCTTTAATTATTTGCTCCTAGGGTTAATGGGATATATGATAGCCTATATCATGGGACCTGTTTTCTGATTACATTTACTGAACAACCTAGAAGCATAGGCACTAATTGATTGAGTGTTGTTATTGGCATGATTGCCAGATCCCTAAAATATTATAATATTTAATAACACCTTTCTTGCCAAAAGTCATAATTTTTTTTTTAATTTTCCCTGTTCCAAAAATGTTAACAACTTAATGTAAACTTGGTTGAATTTTGAAAAAAATCAACTTCATTCACTTAATGTACTATTTTACTTAAAATTAGAATAAACGCACATGCTGTTGATAATTCTGTATATTCAGGTAGAAAGTATATGTTGCATCTAAGATTTATTTTTTAGGTGTAATGTTCTTGTTTTTTTTCTCCACATTATGCTGCTGTTGAGTACAGGATAATAGCAAAGATACCTTTTGATAATAGCAAATATTCTGCAGGTTATGTATTTCAAAAAATAATCAAACGACTCTTAGTAGTTAAGTGTTTATTATTCCTTTTAATCATAAATAATTTTATTTTATAAATAAAATTTTCAAGAAAGAAATGTAATTTTTTTGCCTACATAATATAAAAACTGTTTGCAGTAAATATAATATTAGTTGAAACTCGGACATAAATAGTTCTGCTTCGAAAATAAATTGAATTCTATTGTTCTACAGTTTACATCACTTTGAGGACTTTTTTGTTTTAGGGCTGTTGAGCTCCATGAATACTTCCCTCCATAAAATTTGATGATCAGCTGTTACTTATGCAATACATTTATGTATGTCTATAATCAAAGCCTGAATAAAAGGCACTAATTATAATTTCATTTTTTTTAGTTAGAAAAAAATCTGAAAAATTTCTAAAATAATGTGTGACATTTCTTTTTGTCTGATAAAGTAGGGTTCTAATTTTTCATTTGCTTTAATTTGCTTTATTATATATTCAATTTGCTTTAATAATATTTTATTTTATAATAGTAAGGTATCATCAAAGTGCTTTTTTTAGGAATTTTTTAAAATGTAAACAACGAGAACTCTTATAAAAATTTTATTTAAAATCCAAGTTGGACTAATCAATTGCTCTCGTTATAATGGTTCTAAACTTTTAGCACTTTTAGGCATTAAAAGTTTCAAACTTGTAATATTTTTAACAGTTTTATAAATTATGCCTATATTTTTATGCAACCTGTCTTTACTGTTGATTAATTTTACATTGATGTTTGTGTTGCTTATGATCTATTTTACATTGATATTTTCATTAAAAATTTATTTTGTTTTGATGTTTTTATTGTTGATTTATTTTACATTTATGTTTTAATGATGATTAATTTTATGTTTATGTTTCTATTGATGATGATTAAGTTTATGTTGATCTTTTTATTGGTGATTAATTTTATAATCACTATGCTTTTCCTATGAAATATGTTAAATGGAAAAGTTTCAGAAAACTAAAAGAAAGCATATTAGATATTTTTTTAAGGTCTGATATTTTCTTCTTTTCGTAGTTCATTGGACTTTGAGTTGTACCTCTTCTTTTTTCTTTTTTTTTTTTAATATAAGAAGTCCTGTTATCATTCATAACAATTTTAACATAACTTGTGTTTTTTTTAAACCATATATGAATAAATATTTGAAAAACATCTTCAAATTTCAATTGTTAATAAGATATTTCATTTTTGCACTATATACTAATCATTTATATATACTGCTAGCTCTTCTCAAATAAATACAAGTTATTTCTACCACAAGTAATTTAATTAAGGAAGCTGTTCAAATATATTTATATAGTGGAAGTATGCAACAATTTCAGTAATATGTTTGGAAAAAATAAATCTTACTGCAAAAATAATAACATTTAATTAACATTAAGTAGTTAACATTTATTAAATAACCTATTTTGCTTTTATATTTAAAAAAAATTTGTTTCTTATCTTAAGTTTTGCTCAAAATGTGACCGATTTTATTTTTTTAAATCATAATCTAAAATTTAGTTGTTCATATGAAGCATAGTTAACTCTGAATTATGTATGCTGTAAATAAATGTGGGTAGCAGCAGTTTCTAAACTTTTTTGCACTAATAATACCTATTTTAATTAAAGACTTTTTCCATAGCTTGAGGGAAAGTATCACTGATAAATAGCACATAAAAGGAAATGATATTCTTATATTTGATATTTAGTAAATACATTTATTTATTATTTAATAAATATCAGTACAAGGACAACACGGTTCTCCAGAAAGCTGCCACACACTCTCTAGGAGTTGTCGCTCTAGAGACAAGTTAACTTGCTCTGTATTCTTTCTAAATCAATATGAGGTAATTGTAAATGAATAAAACTTGATTATAAAATTCAACAAATACTAATGTTAACTCCTTCTAACAGCAGCCTTTTTGACAATGGTGCCTACCCATGTATTCTAGGCATTGCTAGTAATAAGGTTTTATGTTTTCCTCCGCAAATTTCTTCTAGTCTTTTGAAAATCTGACACATTGATCCTATTTTCTAAGTAATTTTTTTTCTTCAAATTTTGTAAGAATGTATTCAATAATTAATTTATATTTTCACTTTATATTTTAAGTCTGAAGTTTAACAAAATAAAACAATATTTGAAAGTGCATTGAAGGAAATTTGCATATTTAAATAATTTGTACTTCTAAATGGATAAAACTTAGAAGTCTAAGATAGAATATCTTGAAGTGATCTGGAAATTCATATTGTAGTGCAATTTGTTATCTGTAAAAATCATGCTATTGTTTAAATTGTGTGTTCATATTATGTAAATAAAATTTTTTCAAATGTTTCTTTTTCCATTGTATCAATTTTGGTGGATATTTCTTAACTGCTCAAACAAACAATTATTATAAAACTTGATTACATTCTGAAAACAAAATCTTTAATAAGAAATGTAGTAAAATAACGAAATTAATGTTAAAATTGTTGTTCCATTTGAGTGCTTAAACAGTATTTATTGAAAGAGAAGTTAGTGCAGATGCGTTTCTCTACATATTACGTAAATAAACAGTTTATTTTTTTTAAATTACTGATTCTGATGTACTTTTCTTAACTGTTCAAACTAATAATTAACACAAAGCTTAACATTTTAAAAAATTAAGTTTGCGTACATGGAATTTTACAAATTTATTTTTTTTTCTATTGAAAAATTAAGCTTTATATCATTGGATTGCACCTTAAAATTTCACAGAATTCGAAGCAAAAATAAGTCTCAGTTTTAAGTAACACACATTATGCTCCGTTTATTTTTAAGGGATTAAATAAATAACAGATATTTGTAAAAAATAGAATATCACTTGAAATAAATTGGTTTTGTTTGTAAAACTTATGTCAATGTTAAAGCAAATAATAATGTAATTAATTTTTTAAAAATAGTCTATTATTCCATTCTATTTTATTGACTCTGCTGGATATTTAAGTCTCTATATACTAATTATTTTTATAAAACTCAATTTTTTGAAATAGTGTTAAAATAATTTTTATGAACAACATTTTATAAAATCTTTTTCCTAAGGAAAAGTTATTCAATAAAGACAATTGTATTGAAAGTATTTTAGTTTTTAAACCTTATTACATCAACTCTGATTATCTAGTTTAGTAATCATGCTTACAAAATCCTTGTTTGTTTGGTGTTTAAATATTAGAGAAAATTCATTTTATGATAGTGATTTTTATTTGTTTAAATTTATGAATGATTCTTATCTTACATAGTAAAAGTTAAGAATTTTAAAATATTTATTTTTAATAGGTTTTGATACGTTATAAAAAATATTCTAAGTTGTGGATCCGTTAATTGTAAAAATAGCTCTTTACTACTTGAAAAAGTGATAATTAGTTCAGAAGTTTATTGGTTAATTATGTCGTTTATTATGTCAGCACGACCTACACAGATTTTTATGTAACAATTATTTTATATTTTACTAAAAGAAAAATTAAAAAAAATTTTTTTTTAAGCATTATTCTGGTGCTTAGATTAATTCAAGACATTTTATTCTCACTTTTTGCACAGAGCTTATTTAGTACAATATCATACAAAAGTAGCCAGTGTAAAGCTGTTGAGTACCCTCTTCTCAGCAAATGACAAAAGGTTGCATGACCTTGTCTGTCACCTTTTTACTGGAAAGGAGTTTAATTTAAATATTGCAATCTAGCATATGGAAAATTGTTTCCAATGTATTTTTTTAACAACGTGTCGAATCTGTCAAAACGCAAGTCAACTCAGATATTGTGGGAGATTTTATGTTCTGTTTTTAACTTGTATTTTTATCTTCTAAGTTATATTTTTAACTTGTATTTATTAACACTTTTGTCATTGCTATCAAATGAAGTATTATTTCTGTGGATGTTTATCTTTTGACAGTCCCGCAGTGAACTGATCGTTAAGACAAGGTTCCCAGAAGATCACCGAAGTCAAGCATCACTGGCTGCGGTCAGTGTGCGTGTGGGAGACCACTTGGATTAGTCTGCATAGGGACCGAGGATGTGCGGTATGGGTCCTCGTTAAACTGTTCTACCGTAAAGTGCTCGACTTCGCGTGCAGGTCATTGGGCTACCGAAGCGGGGGGTGCCGTCCCCTCTGCAGAGGATCAAAATTGTGATGGCTTGTCTTCGGATCATCCTCAGGGATGTTTCCCAGACCGTCGCCAATAGCCCATTGTGCAGCTCTAGTGCGACGTAAATTAACTACTGCAACAATTATCTTTTGACAATTTTGAGCTTTCTTTACTGTAGGATGAATAAGTAAAAGTAAAAAATTGTACTTCATATAAATCAAGAAACGTCTAAAAGTGTTTAACCTCTCGATTTAAATTTAATCTTATTTTATTCTGTATGAGCAAATAAGTATATAGTCATAGGAAAGATATCCTATATATTTTAGATATCCTGGTTTTAGTTGCTTTTGAGTTGTTTTTGTTGTAGTAATTTATTGTGCATGAAAACATCCTGTTATTTATTATTATTTTTTTTTTCTTATTCATTTTTTTACAAGCTTGTCGATTTTTATTAATTTATCTATTAAAATAGAAATTTGTAATTTATTGAATTAATTTGCAATTATCGAACAATTATTTTATTTTCATGTTTAAAGGAAAAATATATCAGTTTTTTATTAAAATTAATTTTCTTAATCAAATTAAAAGGGATTATCAAGGAACAAACAACTTTTAAAATTGATTTTCCTTTAATCTATAGCTTGAAAAAACAATTTGCTTTGTAGTTATTGCAATTAATTTATGTAGACTTAAAGTTATATTGTTGAATTTTGTGGTAGTTGTTTTAATATCATGGACATTTATATTATGAAAGCTATTTATTGCTAGTACCTGTATTGAGCGAATTTGACAATTTAATTTTTTTTTTTTAATAATAAATGAAAAACATCTAAAAACTCTCTTGTATCCTGTATAATGGAGATATCATTTTCATTGTAAAAAAAATCATATTTTATATTTACATCGTTTTTAATATCTTTACTTCAATGCTAATAAATTCCAACTCGCAATGATTCGAATAAACTAAACTTACTGTTTCTAATAGGAATTAAAGTGGGTAATTTGAAAAGCGTACAGAGGAACAATCCACTTTATCCATTATAAAGTATTCAGTGAATTTATCTGCGTTGCTAAGCAACTGAGAGCAGTTTGATAAAATTCCTTGATTATTCTCAATAGGATAAAAGATTATCCCTCTTGGTTGCTAAGCAGCTAAGAAGAAACTTCCCCTGAATACTGTTGAGTATTCGCTACTTAGTTCAAAATCTTGAAAGTGGTATTTTAATAAATTTAAGAAAATTAGCTTTGGAATATATAGAAACAGTCGTAAGCTGTTATTTTTTTTTCTTTCTATTCATTTAAAAACATCTTACTTTATAGTTTCGACACTTAACGGAATAAATAAATATTTTCTGCCTACAGGTGACAAAAATAGTCTAAAATTCAAATTAGGAAGAAGTCAATAATATTTTTCATGAAGTGTATAGACTAATTGGGAAATCCGGTTCTTTTCCAACTGCCAACATCATTTGCTAAGCTTATCCCATTTAAAGAAACCAAAACGTAACTGATTGGTAGCCTCATTTGCTCAGTGAAGAGGGAGATAAAAGGGACTGTTAATCTGTATGTCACCAACTAACTTTCGATGCTGAAATTGTGCGATGATTCACAATATTTCTTTATTGAAAGCACAGGCATAAGTGCTGGTTTAATAATTCTTTGAGCATTTTCTTATAAACTTAATGGCACATGGGCAATGCGCCTCAAGAAGCATCAGGCCGCATTTAAAAAGCCGGCAACTATTGCAAAGTGACTGGTTTCCCAATTTTTCAATGACAGGGTTCCAAACAAAAAATGTCATTTTATTTGAAATGTCTTTATAAAAGATAAACAAACTAAAAAAATTGTATGGTTGGCTGCGTTCTGTTTAAAAATTGTCTCGACAAATTTCGAAATTAGTAGCAAATTTCTTTATCAGTTGGCGCTGCTAACTTCAAAGACTCAGAAACATTGTTTTAAAAAAGATCATTATTGCGTGATAAAATGTAAAAAATTAATTAGTGGCCACAACAGGTGTTAACATTATAAAACTAATTATAATTAATTAAAAAAATTGTTTTTGCTACCTCATTAAATGGTTATTCTTAATTTTTAGAACAATAGTCGAAAACTTTTTAGAATGCATCGTCTGATATGAAAAGACAGCATTTTTATAAAATAATACCTAATTTCATATCCATTAGTATACATTGCTTTTTAATAATTTTAAAACTTTGACGCCTTAAAAATATCGATGTACTGCGGCCAGCTGACTGACCTATTACAACCTTTCTTAGAGAGTCAGTGAGAACTTGCAGAAGAAAGTTAAAATATGATTGCACTTTAAAAAAAAAATTTTTTTTTGTTAAATTTTCTATCGTAAAATCAGCTACAATTTTTAACTCTGCATTTTTGACATATTAAAGTAGTTATTAATAGTTATAGTAGTAGTAATAGTTATAATAGTACTTAATAGTTATTAAGTAAAAGATTGTTAACCCATTTTACTATGGAATGAATAACATGTATATTTGTTGTTGTTCATTTACGTCGCACTAGAGCTGCACAATGGGCTATTGGCAACGGTCTGGGAAACATCCCTGAGGATGATCCGAAGACGTGCCATCGCAATTTTGATCCTCTGCAGAGGGGATGGCACCCCCGCTTCGGTAGCCCGACGACCTGCACGCGAAGTCGAGCACTTTACGGTAGAACAGTTTATGTATATTTGCAATTACAATACTTCTGGAGAGAAGATCAGTTCCGTGTCCCTCTGCTCAGATATATGGGAATGTATTACAATGTTTCCCTTTTCCATAATATTTTTTTTGCATTTAGCTTATAAAGAACATATTTAAATATTTCCATGAACCTTACCTTAAACATAATATTTAATAAAGTTTTGAATTTCATATACACTTTATAACAAAAAAATTGACGCCATAAGAAGCGCAAAATCGACGCTCGATCAGGCTGGAATGATGCCGACGGGGGACGTATAGTCTTTAGCGACGAATCCCGCTTCCAACTGTGCTCTGACGATCATCGAAGGCGTGTTTCGAGACACAAAGGGTAGAGGGGGGATCTGTTTTGCTACCGTTCTTCTGGCAGCTCCCTGGGCTGGTTTTTCAGCAAGACAATGCCAGACCACATACGGCACGTGTTGCTATGAGCTGCCTGCAAGCTTGTCAAACTCTTCCTTGGCCTGTCAGATCACCAGATCTCTCTCCCAGCGATTGCATCTGGCACGGAATGT